AATTGTCGATCGTTGCGTGGTGTTATATATATATATATAAACAAAATTGCAACAGTATTTAACATTACGCTTTTTAATTGAAAATAAAATAACTTAATTCTTTAAAAAAGAAATATGTTTCTCTAATAATTATTTGAAATATTTATAGCAGTTTTCTTTATAGCAATATAGAAACAAATTTTTAGCTAGACTAGAATCATCTCCAAGACTGAGAAATCAACTGTCAAACATAAAACCAAACTTAGGATGATTAATGATAAAATGAATAAAAAATTTCATCCTATTAAATATAAACGAGTCAAAATAAAATAGTCTTTTAATGGTTAATACTTACACAATTGTCTTTGTTTACTTTATGAAGTCTGGGTTCCTCCTCAAGAAACTTCATTATTGTATTTGTGTGTATTTATTATTGTTTTGAATTAGCCAAAAAAAAATTAAATTGGGAACCGCTGGTGTAAAGGATACACACATTCAAATAGTATCCATTACAATGGGAAATATTAAAAGTTTTGAGGAAAAAATACACCTAGGTTTCAGAGAAGAATTGCCAAATCTATCTCTGAATACAACCTTTGTAAATAAATATAAAAAGTAGGGTAAGAAAATAGGACATCTAATAATAGCATACATTAAATAAATTGTGACCACTTTTTACATAAAAAGATATGAAAGGACTGAAATATACCTGTAACCATTAACTACACATATGGGTCCAGTAAAACCAAACAAATTTTTTTAACAATAAAAATTTTATGATTATGGTGGTAACTTATGTTATGAAACTTCCTTATACGTTAGTAGAAACCACAATCTGTCGAAGATAGGTTAACAGTTGCACGTTTATTCATTAGAAAAGATTATTCAGCTCTCTTAGGTCTCATAGATCTAATATTTTTGCATAATCATTGCGCTTGTAGAATAAGTATTGATATTTTGAAGTTAAATTATTTAAGATATTTTTGCCAAATTTATATTCTTCGTTTGCTTCAATAACAATAAGGTAAAATTTTTTATAGCTCTTCAGATGTGGGACAAAATTAATGATAGTCACCAGTCACAGGGTGATAAAATATAACAAATGTCGATTAAAAAATTGCCTGGCAGTCACCATCTGATCGCCACTTTTTCATTGAAAATGCACCTCATGTGCATAGGAATGCACATGAAGTGCAACAATAAATATGTTTTTAAAAATAAATATGAAATTATTTTGAGTATTTTATTATAATCTGAAGATAACTTCATACTTGTTTCTTAAAATTTTTCTTCATTTCAGAAACTAATCTTTAAATATTTATCATACTTTGAGAAATGATTAAGATTGAGACATAATAAAGTTTTTTTTAACACTTAAGTTTTTCAATTTTTGAAAAAACGGTCACAGTTAAAAATTCTGCAACAGGCCACTTCCAAATTTTGACGAATACCTTCAGATTTTTTAAAATTTTTTTTTTTTATAATTAGACTGGATATCTATTTTATTAAGTATGCTACATACTATTGAGCTTTTGTGATCTTATAACAGCTTACAACCACCAAATTGAGCATTAACAAAATATGACCACAAAGGGTTAAAAGTTTTCTTAAATATGAAAATCCAAACAAATTCATAAAATAACAGAAATTTAAGAATATTGGGAGTAATTTCAAACTATTTTAATCTTATATATTATTTCTCTATATAACTATTTTACTAGAAAAGATATATATTAACTATATTGTTTTACATACATTAACTAGTTCATAAATATCAATTATTTTAATAATTCATTATTTATTCAGTTAAATTATCATAATTTATTTGTACTTGTTGCACTTCCTTATAATTTAAAATTGATTACACCCGCCAACATTCCACAGTAAAAAAATAGCCCATTTTCACTGGTGCAAATAAACTATTTTCTTTTCTTTAAAATTTGATCATCACCAATTGAACAAAAACTTATTTTGTAAAAATAAATATTTTATAATTCTTAATTTTACTTCAAAAAGTATTCATTAAAAAAAAAAGTCTGGTCTACTGGATCATCTGTGTAGATTAAGATAGCAAAAGAAATGTGTGCGATGGATTTAAATAATTAATCCAGTACAAAGAATAGATACTGTGCATCATCATTTTACTTATTACATGAATTATTTAAAAGGAGAATCTGAAAAGGTTTATTTATTATTTTTTAGAAGTTTTTCAATAGATTCAAAGTAAGGTGTTTGGCTATTTTTCTACATAATCACAAAATTGGTCAATGTATTTTTGTAGATGTTCTAACAGTGTACCCATGTTTCACCAGCTCTTTAGTATGTTCTTCAGAAAACATTAAACCTCATTTTACACCTCATCATTAGAAAAAAAATTTTAAAATCAGAGTAGTTTAATTTTATACCTACTGCAAAACACATTTTTTTTAAAAGGTTAAACTTTATGATCAACAAACATTCACAACGATTTCAATGGAACATCGCAGGGATTTTATTGTCTGAAATGATTATCACCCATTACTTACATAGAAATAACATTTGATCATAAGGAGATATTTTGATAAGGTTAGAGCATGGCATTCAATGATTATCATCTAATCCTTTCATTGAAATAGTATTTGGCTATAAAGTGATTCTTTGATGAGCTTGGAATATGGCATTCATTGGCTACCCTCTGTTCCGGACATTGAAATAACATTTGGCCATGATTCTTTAATGTTGTGAAAAGTGGCATTCAAAGACTACCAGCTGCTACCCCGTACCTTGAAGTAACAATTATTTAGGTAATTTGTTAATGAGGTTGGAAAGTGGAGGTAAGATGATATACAAAAACTGTGTCAAACAGTTTAATGATTATGTAGAAAATTAGACAAACATTTCACCTTTAAAGTGATGCAAATGTTATAAATGAATTTTTTTTATTTCTAAGAAAATTGGAATTGTCCTAGGATATGTAAATATGCTCAATGTTATAAATGATTTTTTTTTATTTCTAAGAAAATTGGAATTGTCCTTGGATATGTAAATATGCTCGAAATAATTTCCTATCACTAAAATTCAAAATAAGTACTAATGCCAGTCCTTATCAATTACACTCCAGAAAAAAGAGTTTTGATTACCTCATGTTTTATAGAAACAGGATTTCCATTTAGTGTAAGCGTCCTGGATAATTTTATATAAATTTACTGTTATTCAGAAAGCATTATTAGTTTCAAAATTATTCTATTGAATATTGCAGGTGAGAATCTTATGGATTCAAATAGTGCTATGATCTTAGATCATGCAATTTCAAATTGTGCCATTGAATATTGCAGGTGAGAATCTTATGGATTTAAATAGTGCTATGATCTTAGATCATGCAATTTCAAATTGTGCCAGCTGTTTTGCTGTATAAAATGTTTTATGACTATTGCATTGAATGGAAATCCTGTTTTCATAGAAATAGCACTATTGCAAGTTCAACCACTATTTAAGAATTTTTTATTATGCACAGCTAAAACTTTTTTGTTTTAAAAATCCAGTCTAGTGAAAATAAGATCATAAAATATGTCGTTAAAATACATTAAAAAAATCAAATTTTTAAAAATGTAAGCTTAGTGAGAATAAAGCATTTTGTATGATTTCAACAAATAATTGCAATTCATTTTAGGAATGTTTTAAACGAAACTGAATAACAAAAATAAAATTTCAATCAATCAATAAGAAATAGTAGTAAAACTTGTTCAAGTTTTAAGTAAATTCCCATTTATAAAATACTTTTATAAAATAAATTCCTCCATAAATAAAACTATTCATATACATTACTTAAATATGCAATATCAATTTAAAATAAGTACATATTTTTGCAGTACTATTGATGCCTATTTAATCACATGATGTCCACTTCCTTTTGGGTGAATAAATGAAGGTACTCTGCAATGAATACTCGGAGGATTTTGTTCAAATTGTCGATCGTTGCGTGGTGTAGGCTGTCCCGATTGTCGCTTTCTCTGTGCCATACAGAAGGGAATGGATTGGGGATCAAGTGCAGAATTGGAACACCTAGAAAAAAATGCAACAAGGTAAATAATATAACCATCTAATATAAATACAGGATGTTCTCTAACTGCCACCATTAAGTGGATGCTAAACCGAGAAAAAACTTTCATGAGAAGTTTTCTTTTTCTAACATAAGTGTTTTAAGATTTAAACTGTAGAAGAAAAAGAGTTCAGGTAAACCTAGAAGTTTCAAATGCTTAATTTCTTTTTCAAAATGACAATAAATTGGGACATAATTCTTCAAGATTACACTTATACAATAATTTTTAGTATCTTCATATTTTAAAAATGATTTTTCAACATTTGCAACTTCATGGATTATTCTAGGTCATTTTTTCTATACTTTAAAATACCAATAAAGGTGAAATAGAATTTGCCATGAAAAGTTTCTCCCATGGCGCAGCATCCTCTTAATATATAGTGCTTGAATGCTTGTCCAAAATGAAGCCTAAAAAAGGATTAAAAAAAACAAACACAAGACAGATACACAAGTCTGTTTGATTTCCCGATGATACTTTTAAAAGGCCACCTTGAATTTCTCTTAGGTCCAAGTTTTCAGTCCCACCTTCCTCAAAAATGATTTGTTCTATTTCTGAAGTTTTTTCCTTATTTCAATAATTTGAAATATCTAATGTGCCTAATTTTTTATTTTTGGTAAAGATTCAAAAATTATATATTAAAGACAGTTGTTACAGGATACCTTCCATACAAGGATGATAAGATAACATTTGTGATGCCACAATTGGCATAACATATTTATTTCCCACCTTTTAAAATATCTTGAATTACTTAAGCTTATTTTATTAATCGAATTATATTTAAAATAAATCAAAGAGTTAATCTTTTAACGCGAACATAAAATATTTATTCTTTTTTTAATAGATCAACGTAACGGATACTTTTTATTTCATTACTAATGCAGACTCACTAATTCACTGCCGCGCCTAATCGAAAACAAAAATCTATCTACAACTTTTTGATTCTTAAATTCCTTACCGCAAATATGTTTTAGTTGCATGGTTGTAATAATTCCCACAATTTTGTTGGCGACCTGTGATCACCAAGGTTTTTTCAAAACCCACTACTGATTATGCGGGGTTGGTTTTGTGATATTTTGATAATTCAACAATTTTGGATCTCCTATCCATGCTTCTCCTGTGCCCGTAGGGAACAATTGCATTCACTTTTAATTTCAAATTTGTGGCGACTGGGAGTGCCCTTTGGAGATTCCAATCCTAACCGTTTAGAAATGTAATTTTAATAAGAATGCTAACTTGAACTCTCAAGGTCGGAGTAATGTTGTCTTGATCCCTTTAAGGGATTCTTTTTTTACGATTTGTAATTTTATGTATGGCCATTTTATAATTTCTGCAAAATCTTGCTTAATAAATGAAATTTTTATTTAAACTATTTTTATTAATTCCTGGTGACTATCATTTTGCTACATTAAAAATAAAGAGTTGGTAAGGCCAAGAAAATCTATGATGAGTTTTTAAACTACCACTATATGCTAATAATGGCAATCACCGTCGCCATAACATCTTTTACAGAAAAGTGTGCCAGTAAGACAACTACATGAAAATTTATTATATACTCATCCCCATAAAAATTAGCACACCTAGAAAGAGTTGTCAGAGTGAAACGAAATTTTACATACGTAAGAACAGACTTTAAATAACTAATTAAAAAATCTAAGAAATATGATTAATAACTGCAGGAAAAAAGGTAAATGAATGAAGGATTAAGTACCCTCATGGGCCACCTTGAGCATGATAGCAAAATGCGATATGGTCAGACATTAAGGGATACAAATCTCTTATGAAGTTCTATGGCACTTGACTTTTTTTTTTCTTTTTCCAAAAAAACTCACTCCAAGTCAACAAAGCCTATTGTGCTTTAAATTTCAGAAAGCTGCCCTTTTTTAAAAATAAATGAAGAATGAATAAAAACATAACAAATATTAAAATCTGTTCCATTCATACACTGCATTGAAAAAAAATCACTTTTTTTTTTCAAAGTTAGCTAAAACTTTTGAATTAAACTCACTGTAGCTTTTTATGATTCTTAGAACCTAAATAAATTAAATTTACATTCATGCACTGTTACAGAAAGAAAACCCAGAAGCTTGCAATTTTTTCTTAATTTTTACTGTGTATCTCCTCGCCCATAGTATTATATCAACCTAGAACTCACCATGGTTGGGTTGACTGTAAATAGAACTCAATGTGCAACCTACTACCCAATTCTTTTGAGAAAATATTTGCATTATATTTATAGCTATTTACAAATAGTTTCAATGGAGTCTGATTTCTTGGTTTACTGCAATTTTCTTTCTTTTTTATATCTACTACACTTTTAAAGTTTGATTTTTTGGGGAATCGAGGCATAACTGATGAAGACTTTAATGTTGCTCTGATATATCCATTTTTAACTTCATGTTCAAAAAGTTTATTTGAAGCCCCTATCACAAGCTTGGTGTCCTTTCTACAGCCTAGGAGTGATAAAGGGATTTTGATATTTCTCTAATGTGTAGTGCCAGAACGGATGTATGTTTTAAATACCTTCATTTAGGTCATGCAGTATTTGGGAAAGGTATACTACACAAGAATTCTAATTATTGATTTTAAAGTAATATGAAAATTCATCTTCTGCAGTACAAAATTTGTAGTACATAAGTCTTTTTTTACGAGACAGTTGTCTTGCTTTCAAGATCCTTCATTAGTAAATGTCCTTCAGACTTGGTTGACAACAGTTAGCTGTCTAGAATGGGACGAAGGGGCAGGATTATGGTTTGCCAAATCTTCTGGAAATCGCCCCAGGGTGATTGCATTTGAAATGTGTAATGGTTGTGAGGATTCCAACCAACCAAATTTTGTATAACTGAAGATAAACTTTCAAGATTCAGATTACTCTAAAATCATTAATTGGAATTTTTGAAAGGTATACCCTCCCCTAACGCTGCAATATCTAAATGAAGATATTCCTTAATGGAGAATCTTACTGCATTGAAAATATTTTCACATAGTTGCAAATATATAAAAATCACATCAAAAAACTGGTTGGTTTGTAAAATGTAACTCTATGGGCAACCATTTTCATGTAATGAGTACCTCATTGTTCTGATCTAACATAATGACGGAAGGAAAAATTGTAAAAAATTGGTTAACTTTTTTGCAGAAGCGTTGTGTAAACATAAAAAATGAAATTGAATAACCTAAATGAATTCTCAAAGAATCATAAAAAGCTAAAGCGAGTTTGTTTTAGAAGATTTAGGCAACCTAAAAAGAATTTTAATAAGACATAATTTTTTAAGTTCTCACTACTTTTAAGTTTTTTTAAACAAACGGAAGATATAAAATTTTTTATGCCCTTTTTATTACTGCAACTTCCCGTAAAGCATTCTGAAGTAAAAAAAAAATTTTGGACCCACTATAGTGTCTAGTCCAGAGTTCAGAAACACTGCCCACAGAGGTAATCTTCAGAAAGAAGATAAAATAATAATAATGTAACTGGACTAGATGGACCAAGAATTTATCACCCTATTCCCTGCAGGTGTTAACATGTAGCTCACAGGGTTTCAAGAATGAAATTCTTGATCATCTTGCATATAGCCCTGTCATAGTTCCTTTAGAAAACTACATGCTTGACATTCTGAAGTGATACACACTAAGGCAGTGTTCTGACACACTATAAACAAAACAGGCTTTAGTTAAAATGGGAGATTAAATACTATTTAAACAAGATTATGCAATTCTATTTTTCAAATATAAGAATGCTTACAACTAAAATCTCCCGCATTAGCTTTTATCAGGATACCAGAGGGAACAATACTGTTCAGTAACCAAAGCAAATAAATGGAGGACAGTTGCTGCAAAAGAGTGGACATGGGAAAAACTTCTAAAGGCCAAGGCCAACTCTGGGCAATGATGCTTTCAATGATGGAATGTGGCAAGCAAGGCGAACCATAGAGGATGGAAAAGAAGAATCAAGAATTTAAACTTTTGTGTGTTTTGTTTTCATTAATATAATAGCTTCACAGTGTTTGTCTCTGTTCTTCACCTGAAGTAATCTTTACTGTTACCCACATATGATATTTCTACATATGATATGACAAAATTAACATACCTAGTCTCATAAATGGGACATGATCATCTTCAACATAAGCTAGAATTGTGCGGCTGTCAAAATAATGTGTCTCACTTCTTGGAGGTTCAGCATCCAGTAATCCCAAGGAATTGAGCCTCTTCTCTGAAACAATAATAAAAACTCCTTGAAAAATTCTAATATTAAAAAAGATTTTGTGTTATGTAATAAAGCTAAGAACAAAATATAGAATCTCAAATAAAGCAGCTAAAAGCCATTTTGGAGCTACAGCAAACACTAACATATAGGGCAAAATAATCTTTTTGTTATCTGCCACTGGCCAAATAGCAATTTTAAAACATGTGACCATATTTCCAGAAATTAAAAAACTGCTAATAATGTAAAACCTTTCCTTTGAAAAATTTCCCAAAACGTTGTAAACAGGACAGGGTATAATTCAGAAATGAAGAAAAAAATTTCTGACCTCTCTAAGCAGATTCATGTAAAATGCAGATTCATGTAAATGTACTATATATGTACTGTATGTAACGCTTTCAATTTGGAGTTAGTTTTTAAACCAATAATGCAACATACAATGTAAGTTTTTTAACATAGTGATGAATACAATATTAACTCCAATGAAACCTAGAATAACCAAATTCACCCTACTAGAAATTTTGATCCAGCATAAAATAACCTGAACGTTTCAGGGATGATAACGGCTTTCCTGTATGATAAATAAGGGAAATGCATTTTTTGCGGAAAAAAAGTGGCTATCCTGTGGCCATATAATGTAACAGTTTTGTTGAGTACTCTATAAAGCAAAGTAATGTACTTACACAAAGGTACAGTACGCCAAAAAAAAGAACCACTCTGAATAACTTTTGATCCAATGATTAAATCTTCAGATCCTAGAACTCATACTTAATGTTTCGAAGAGGTGATCTCAAATAGGCTAATTAATTAGTGCCGACGAAATCAGACACAAAAACATAAAAGTATTTTAAATGTAAGACTTTGTTAAAATTAGATTTCTGAGAAACTATTCAACCGATTTTGCACAAATTTCGTATTTTGCTATCTAAAATTAGATGCTTTAAATTGATATAATAATGAATTACTTTACAGTTCACATTTTTTTCAATTATTATTTAATAGAATTAAAAAAAATATTTAAAAAAAAATTTTTTTTGCATGGAATTATCTTTGGATAAAAGAATTTTATAGTCGTGTGCAAAATTTTTTAATTTTGCTTAAAAAGTTCTCAAGACATAGAGAAATACACAAAAAGTAAAATAAACATTAAGGGGTCCAAACTTAACATCACACTCCTGACCAAACTATGGGGACCGTATTTTCCAGCTTGAGACTACCCCCTGTATTTTGGGGGTCAAGAATCCTAATGCGTTGAAAAAAAGGCATCATCATTCAAAGAAAGAACATGGTTGTTTCTAATTTCGTAACTTAAAATATCTAAATATTTTATATATAAATGTTTGTTTTTTAAACATTTATGGTTACACACTAAAAAAGGTGATATTATTGGAGACTATGCATCCAAAAAAAAAAAAAAAAAGGAAAAGAAGTTTTGAGTTGTTATTGAATGAATTCATTATTTTAAAATATATGTTGATAAATTTTTACTACTTATAATTTAAGGAGACAAGAAAATGATATATTCAAATTTATAAAATAACGAGACATAAAATACATAAAGAAAGGAAGAAAAAAATCTAAGTTTTTTCCCCAACATTTTGTGCAGTAGTAGTACTTACAAAGCACAAAGTGAAGAAGACAGTTATATTGGTTGCTTATAGAAATGCTTTTTGTAATACTGAAACAATATCTTCTGATATTTTATATGCCCTTCTCTACCTTAATGAATAAAAATTACCAGATCAACTTTACTGCATTTCTAAAAGAAATAAGTAAAGCTACTTTGCTTTTACATATCTCAACTACAAATTAATATTTACTTTTGAAGGCTTGAATCAGGTTAAATGCAGAAATTTTACGATGTAAAAACTGGAAGAGGTTAAACACATTTTTGCAGTAAAGAACTAGTAAAAATGCTGGAAGGAACACTTGAAAATTCTTGTCCCAAAATATTTTTGGTCAAAAGTTTTTAAAATCAAATAATTTTACTGAAAAAAAAATATGGCAACCATGAACTTGATAACAAAAAGAAATTAATATAATAAAAAACAAAATATATCCAGAATCTAATCAAAGAAACTTAGGATTATGTATTTAGAAATTTGTAATTACTTTACAAGAAATAAATTGATGTATGTGTGAAATGAGTTAATTATAAAATAATTTGCAATTTGTTTTACTAATAATCAAGTAAAAAAAATTTCAAGTCAAACAATAATAAAGTGTACCTATTTCAATTAACTGTGAATAAAGGCCATAAGTGTCTGGGAAATAGCTGTAAAATTTTGGGTTTGCAGTACCAATCAAGTCCAGAAGAACCATAACATCCTATTTGGTATAAAAAAAAGTTATTCAAACAAAGAAATACAGAAAACTAATAGCATACAAGCATATTAATAAAAATAAAACATATTGAATTCATACTTACAGTTTGAAAATAATAAAGTAAAATAATTAATGCAATAAAAGTGTAAATTCCTATGTTCTATGTATCAGAATTAGTAATTAAATTAGTAAACACAACAAACCTACTTTTTATCAATTTATAATCATAATCATGAATTCAATTATTTGATTTCAATTACCAGATTGAGACCAAAAATTTCTATTTCCCAGGCCTTATTAATTCAAAAACTGTAGTATTCAATTTAGCAATAAAAGAAATCCTTTATTAGATACAAGGAACTAATAACATAAAAATAATTTGAAATTTTAAAGAAAAGTAAAATACTTGAATTCATACTTATGATTATGAGAAGAATATCAATAAAGAAAAATTATAGATATTAAAGTCATGCTTTATAAAAGTAAAATGTTTTAAATATTAGATACAAGAGTAATTATTAACATAATAAAAAATTTTGATAAATAGCTTTTTTTTTTGTTTGAAAAATTTTTATAGTTAGAATTGTTTTTCCTAATAAGATATAAGAATATTTTTGGAATTGTTATAATTGTTTTTCACTTTGGCAATCTTTTTTTTTTTTTTTTTTTTTTTTTTTTTTTTTTTTTTTTTTTTTTTTNTTTTTGATTCCAAATAGAAATACATGGCTGAGTGCGACAATAGTTTCACAAAGGGAAATAAAGATATTAAATAAGAAGAATATTTTCAGATTAAAAATTATTAACTGGCAATAAAATTTTGTTGATTCCAAATAGAAATGGATGGCTAAGTACAGCTATCAAATCACAAAAGGAAATAAAGAAGGTATTTAAGATTAAAAATTACTAAATAGCAACATTTTATAATTTTTGGAAAGTTATAGATAACTGTTTAAGTGATTTTTATTTTTCCCTTTCTTTACACTTATTTTCTTGATCAGACCTTAATTCAAGCATAAAAATTTACAAGAACACCCTGGCTTTATATAAGGTTCACCACAGCATGGAGATAAAGTGAGAATTGTTACTAAAGTCGTAGTATGCTTGGATAGCAAATTTGTTGCCAAGAATATTTAGACAACGAATTGGATTTATATTCTGCCATGTTATTATAATAAAAAAATTAGGATTTTCAAATCATTAGGGTAGCCACTAACTCTCAGAAAAAAATTTTTTTACACCTTATCCCAATTTTTGTAACCTGTGGCATAAATTTTGCTATTAATTTTTCAGTTAAGTTTTATTTTTAATTCACAAATTATATTACGAAACACACTTGCCATTTGAAAAAAAAAGAAGCAAACATTTTTTAAAAAAGTTATTGCAAGGCAGATTCTATTTTTAAAAAAATTCTAGAACTTAACTGCTTAAGCTCATGAGAAAATATTTTGAGAATCAAATTGAAATTAATAATTTCTCTAAATTACATTTCAAAAACATTCAAATGAGTTTAATTAAAAAACTTTTTTTCTCAATTTATTCGTTTAACATAGAAAATTGTTCAAAATTCTTATTGAATTTTATTTGTATTGAATTGAATCTGAAACAATTAGACACATCAACTTCTTTATATTAGTTTGAGAAAGAACTAGTTCAGACTAATTAATTAGAAAATTGTTACAAGTTTAGATAGAATTAAATTTGAATGAATTATTTCTGCCAAATTAGTACTTTCAAAATAGACACACCAATACTATTACTCCAGTGGTATTGGTAAGAAGAATGAACATAAGATAGCTCTAAAATTGTGCTGCCACCTAGAGGCTTGAATAACATTTCAAAGTTATTTTTAATTTGTTTAGGAGTTTTAACAAAAATTTATACTTTAGAAATGAAATGATACAAAATGTATTCCCTAATTTTATAATGTATTAATTTAAAGTACAAGATACTTTCAAGTATTTAGTACAAAATATCAGACACATTGGTACAGAACCATCTATAAAATAAATACTTTTTAAAGGCTGCATAAAGTATTAAGGAATCACTTAGCAACTAATAAAATGAATTTCTATTGAGGAAACGAGATAAAAACTATTCTTTTGTTCTCATTTTTGGTTATTGTGTAGATAAAATGCAACATAATTTTTCTTTTTAAACCTTTCTTTTAAATTTCATTATCTTATTTTTCATTTTTTTAATTATCAAACAATTCAAGAAGATACTTCACAAAGTTATAAAAACTTAAAGTTAGCAAATAAGGTTTAATACTACAATGAAAAAATTAGTTAGCAAAAAAGCAGTAGTGCATTATTAGCTTGAAGGGAATAAAAATTATCTTTGAATCACAAGAAGAATAAATAGGAATTCATTACAGTTTTATAGCTGAGAAGCTATAAAACTGTTAGGTTTTATAGCTTCTCAGTTAGAAAAGAAAAGTTTAAGTTAGAAAAGTTGAAAGCTTATTTTTATCCAGAAAACAGAGAATAATTTAGGCTAGTGTTTGTTAAAGTTTTCTTTCAAGAAAGTAATTTTAGAAATTTTTTTTTTCCAAAAACATTTGCTTGTAGATCATATCATTTATATTTTTGATTATGCACTATTTTAGAATACAGAAAATATAAACATAAGGATGAGATAAATCAATGGAACTTAAATATAAATACTAGGCGAGACTTGGGTCATAAGCTGTCGATAGCTGATTTAAGTTTCCTTAATCAAGTCAAAAAATAATGATCCACAGTTTTTTTTAAAGTTAAAAACATTGCACTGTTTTACTAAGACATTAAAGATTCAATATGTTAAAAATATTTTAAAATATTATAAGATAGTGAAGATTGTCAGAGTCAAAAATATTTCATAAATTCATAAGAAAGTGAAAGTCTCCTTTGTCGAAACAATTATAATTCATTACTGTGATGGATAATAAAGTTGACTTACCATCCTATCTAAATAGGAAACATATTCTTTTTTAGTGCAATGACTGCCTGAGTTAAGACCAGTGGGGAAGGCTTTCATTTTGTTCCACTTCTCCGCCAGATGTCTTGATCCGTACAATGAATCTGTTTTGCTCCACCTTTTAAAAGCTTCTTCTCCATCAAAAAAGATGAACTGTAGGGACAGTTCATAATCCTGAAAAAGTTATTATCCATTAGACACCAAATAATCACCTACGATAAGAATAATCGTCATTTATTTTTTAAACACAAACTATAGAACTTGATTTAAAATAAATTTATTATTCAGTTACGGTAAACTTGCGTTAATTCGGGGGGAAAAACAATACATAAACATAAAGGAGCAAGTAATTCAGACAAAATAAATAAAAAGATAAAACTACTTTCTATGCAACTCAAGTGACATATTATAATATTTTAATTAAATTTCTTTCTTTGATGGAAATAAATGGAATTTCCTAATTAATGTTTTTAGCATTTAATTTATATTTTTTTCACTTATTCCACATCACTTACCATTTAAATCTCAAGCAAATTACCGAACACAAATGAAGATTGTAATAAAACTTGATAATATTACCATTATCATCACTGTATAAAGATTAATAAATATTTTGTAATGTAACAGGAGTGAAACATTAATGCAATTATTATTTTTTTCTTTTTTAGAAATCCATTATTTAGTCTTTTCTCAAACTTAGTCACTTAATTTTTTTAATAAAAAAAATTTAAGCTGTTAGACACAAGTAAAAATTCTTTCTTTCTGGCAAAAAATAATTGTTTAAAATCAGCAGGATATCTGAATCCTAATCATATTTGCTGACGAGAATTTATCATAAAAGTTCACTGGTGATGCTTGCTGATTTTTACAAAGCATGGTTTTAAAACTGAACAAAAACAAATTATTTAATCTTTAGTTAACCAAATTGCATTTGATTTAATAAACATTGACGTTTTCCATTTATAAGAATTTATTTTTACAATCTAACAATTTAATTATGTAATAAATTAATTCAATCAGGCATAATACTGAGAAAGCTGAATAGAAAAAAAGAAAATGAGAAAAACATTAAATATAGTCTGTTTAAATATTTTTAAATATCATTATTTCAGACAGCAAATTTATTTTTGAAAACTATGGCTTCAAGAAAAATCTTACAGCTCTAATTGAAATACGTTCTGGAGTATTTGTTTTAGCCCACTCTTAATATGGAAGTTATTAAAGGCTTAGTCTACCAAAATAGCTAATAAAAAAAAAATTAATTCAGTCTGATGAAATTTAATACATTGTATAAAACATATAAACTAAATTTACCACTTAATTTAATTTATATATTCTAGAGTATCATTTCTGCAAACACTATTCATAGGTCCACAATCTTAATTTACAATCATATTTGTAAAAATTAAACAAATGGTCAAAATTTCTAGCTTAATTGGTTCAGTATAAAACACTAAAATATTTTACCAGTTTTTTTTTTTTAGTAAATCAGTTATTTATAGCTCAACCTAGTGATATAACTATTGAAAAAATACAATTCAATCCAATGATACATAAAATACTGCCCCAGAACAAATTAAACCTATGCACTAAATTCAATTTATATCTGATGCATTTCTATTAGCACACTTTTAATATAGAAGTTATTTAGAGGCAAAACAGTAATATAACTAATGAAAAAATACAATTCAATATAATGAAATATAATATATTGCACTAGAATAAATTAAACATATACAATAAATTAAACAAGCATGTTCTGGAGAATTTCTTTTAGCACACTTTTAACATGGGAATTTCTGTTATTCAAACTAGTAATATAACCCATGAAAAAATACAAATTAATCTAATGAAACAAAATTTATTGCTTTAGAACATATTATCATATCTTTAATTTAATTAATATGTTCTGGTGCATTTCTTTCAGCATAGTACTTTTAATGGGAAGGTCACTTATGATTCAATCTAATAAAATAATCAATAAACAGAATTTAATGTAATGAAAATAGTCTAACCTTTTCACTTTTTTGTTTAAGAGGCATATGCAACATTTTTGCTGCGTGTATCAGCATCGCACAAGGAACAGCAGAGTCGGTTGCTCCCATGAAGGTATACTCTCTATTGTAGAGGGAGTCATAGTGGCACGCCAAAGTGAGATGCCTGCATGCGTCTGGGTTCAAGTTCGCTATAATGTTGGAGAACGATTTTCTTCCATGAGGTGTTCTATCAGTGAATGTATCTTCTTCTACTGTCCATCCTAATTGTTTCATTTCATCTACTATAAACTGAAATAAGAATCAATTCAGATTATTTATCACAATATTCATTCATAATATCTTAAGTTAATAATTGTTTAATTTTTTAAAATTCAAAAATAAATGTTAACAAAAGTATTTTTCAATATAAAATTTAATATCACTCTATTAAATCAGTGAATTAATTCTTCTCTACAATCCACTATAATTCTTTTATTCCTGATTTTATCCACTATAAGCTGAAATAAGAATGAATTCAAGTTATTTATCACAAAATTCTTTCATAGTATAACTAAATAACTACTTAATTGTTTTAAAATTTAAAAGTGTTAATTTAAGAATTAACCAATATAAAATTTAGTATAGTTTTACATCTGTATTATAAAATACAATAGTCTTTATTTTCCATGTCTTCCAACTCACACTTTCTAGATCAGCGGTTACCAACTGGCGGCCAGCGAACTAAGATATATTAGTTCTCTTTCGTGCCGACAATTTTCGTAAAAAATCTGTATGGGTTTTAAATACTTTTAAGTTTTATATATCTTAACAATTTGATATCTGTTGCACATTAATAGTTTAGTACATAGGGGCACATTAAAGTTACTGTAGCCAAAATTTTTTAATATGCAATTAAATATTTTTAAAAATCTACTTCTTATTTTAATTTGTAATTCGATACTTTTGTTTTGTACAACTTGATAAAAATCTGACAGTATTATTTAATGTTCCTTCAAACATAAGAGTCCTATATAAAATTTTGATAAAGTTGCGGCCCGCCATTTGACTGGTGTTTTTAATTGCGGCAGTGCTTGATTAAGCGTACGCGGGGCTCTAGGCCATTCAAATTTTTGGGGCCCTTAGATGTAATTTTTTATCTCGTATATTTTTAATTTATTCAAATATAAAAGTATTTATATACCTTTTCATTTAAGAAAACAAATTTTGAAAAAAAATAATAATAAATTAAATTTTACTTTATTTTGTTAAATTAGAACTAAAAAATAATCATAACATTTTATAACCATAACATATATATTTTAAATTGATTTTTTTTTTAAAATCATCATTTTGTTTATTTTTTTTCAAAAAATCCATTTTATGGGGGCCCCAGGCCATGGCCTAATGGGTAATCCAGCACTGAATTGCGGCCCCCGGCCTCATGTATATAGGAAACCCCTGTTCTAGATAAATAGAATTACTTTGTAATTTAATCTTGTTCGTACACACAATTCATAAACTTTTTTCTTCTCTTTTTGTAAATTATGAATTTATACATAAAATCCTACCTCTCTGACCAATTTATGCCCTTCTGTTCCTGGTACTCTAGGAATTAATATGGTGTCTAAAGTTTTATTGAAATGCTTAAAGCAAGAAGCTTTCGACACGACATGGTCTAAGTCATTGTTCTGAAGTCTTGACAAAGTATGAGGCCACTAAAAAAAAGAAATGTTTCGATCACATTTGATAACATGTTTTTAAATAATACACAAAAAATAGAAATGGAGAACATTTTTAGATTAGCATAATAGAAATGTGTTAATTATAGAATTAAAATTAAGGTAGAAATATCTACATATCAGTACATTTTCAATATTTGTATCATCAAAAATTACTAAGGCAACAAGAGTTACAGCCTGGTTCTCGTACTTGCAATATATACAGATACACACGCACAGTAAATCCTCCAATCGCTTGTTATATGACTATTCATACAGGAAAGCAATGACTGCGGGTCAACATAAATAAAATAATTACTAGAAAATTAATATATTTGCAATAAGAAAAAGACATTTTTTAGTTATTTGGAAACTTTAGTTTGAATAAAGTTTATTTCTTAAAGCAAACAATGGATTTTCAACATTTCTAACAGCTGTTTATTTTTTGTGCATCAGTTTTAAAGCAGAAAGATCCTTATCCTTTCAAAGGCTTAGGTGCGTTGCAAATGTTGTGGTTCTATTTTACTGTCTTCATCAGCATTATTTTGCACTTCATCTTTAACCATTTCTTGAACAGAAAACACCACACGTTTCAACATTCATCAACTGATGCATAAACATCAAATGTGCTGTTTGGGGCATTTTTACCGAACCGTAACAAAACCTCATTTTTATTTTAATCACGAACTACAGAAGTTACTGTTTTTCTTCTTAAAATAACTTCAATGTTTTTTAAAAAAAGATATAATTTCTGAAAGATAGACCCCTGAAACGTGCCAGTTTAAAACAATGCTATGAAGAGACTTTATTAACAATATAAGAATAGCATTAGTGATGCCAACATAAATTAAGACAATGCATTCAGGAAGGCGAAAGATAGGAGAATGATGAATCATAATTCGAATGAGTGTGCAAGCGTGCGTGTAGATATATAGTAGTTACAGTTACTGCAAGAGTTAGTCTTTTACGTTATCCTACTCGGCGATCATTTTGAGTTTTTCGCTAATATATAGTCTCTCCCTAATACTTAGCAACATTTTAGCACAGGCACTACCATGTAAACCTTTCTAGTATGATGATGATATATGATCCAAAAAATTTTTTTTGTTAACCTAAGTTCCTACGTAATTTAACAGAATTTTTTCATTGGAAAATTAAAAAAATTTTAAATGCATAAAAATTCCTTAAGACTTCTTAAAACAACATAATTGTTATTTTTAATTTATCTTGTAGTTATCGTAAAATTGTAATTTGTACATAAGTTGTAAAAATCTCTTTGCAATTTGTAAAAATAAATTTATGCCATAAGAACTAGTCTAAACTAAAAGAACTATTTTATTCCAATTAAAAATAAGAAAAGCTTACAAGATTGTTAAATAAAAATGAAAATCTAGAGCAATAAGCATATCATACTACTGCATATTACTCTAATGATTACATAAGCTCTTTTGACTACAGTGATTTAAATTTCCATTCATGAAACTTATAACATGACAAGATCATGCCAAATTAACAAGAGTTTGGACAAATTTTTGAGCTTTGTGAAAAATCCCCTTCTTTGAATTATGCCACTATTATTGAGGTGCGATATGGTTAAAATATAATAACTCAAAATAGTATAAATTATAAAGACAATTATTTGTACATATATTTTGTATGCAAAAATTTTGTGTAATTTCTCGGGCTGTTAAAATATTACATAAGCATATCGTTGGTAATTTGGGACTTTTCCCCCTCTTAACCCTTTCGAGCCGACTGTCACATATATGTGCCAGCAAGAAACGTGCTCACTTCCCGGCCGACACACCCGCGTGTCAGAGAGTTTTCTCGTTCACCCCCCGACCGTCACTTATTTGTGCCATCGTTTCGGAATGTTTTAAAAAATGAAATTTCTTCCAAAAGATGGCATTGTATGTCCATATGGTTTCAGATACATGTAGATTTGACCTTCTACTCAAGATGAAAGTACAGTCACGTGGTTTTTAGGGGAAGGAGTGGAGGGGGGGAATGTTTTATGAGGGCTCTTTAAATTAGCACCTGATATTTATTTACAGTAAGTAAGGGAGCTTTTTTTCCTCTCGCTACTTTCGATTTTCGGATTAGTTTTTAGTGGATAATTAGATCTTGTAGGCTTGAATTTTTTTTTCTTTTTACCGTTAGAATGTCGAAGCGTCGAAAAATTTTGACTGAGCTGGAAATAGAGGAAATTATGCAAAATATTTCAGATATTGATTCTGAAACAGATTCGGATAGTAGTGATAGTGACACTATAATGAAAATAAAATGTGTAAAATATACATTTAAACAAGAAATAACTTAAGTAAATAAAGTATCCATAGAAATATATATAAAGCATATGTCACTTAAATGCTCTTCAGAACAATATTAAACAACGCGCTGATATTTCGGTAATTTCATGGAATTAGGCTTAACATCAAAAAACCCTCCGGCCCTGGGGAGACACACGCTAGAGAGACTGCCGGCCTCAGCGGTAAGCGCGTTTTCGCGCTTTGCGAAATAAAAAAAATAAAAAAATCGCAAACCCTTTCCCTTAGTTATGTGAGTAAAGTTTATCTTGAGTATTGACTTTCACCATAGTAAACTAATTTTACGACTAAATTCAAATAACTTAGTAATAAACAGAATTTTAGTTTTAGTTCATTTTATATAATCTTGAGTGAATGTTCGTTAAAAATATTTTGCCTTTTCCTTTTATATTCAAAACTCTATGCAACTCTTCTGAGAAAGGTTTTTTCGAATTTGGAAATTTTCTATGTGAAACTTTTTTTTGTTGTTACATTTTCATTATCTTGCTTTTAGGGAAAATTTTGAAAAAAAAAAGACATCTGAATGTCTTACAATAACAATGCTCATACCTCGTTAAGCATCAAAAAATCTGTGAACTAGTTTTCAAAATTTTTCATATTTTAAACCAGTGTTTAAAAACTTAATAATGTGTTTTACTAGTGTAAATTGTAAGCAGTTTATTAGTTTTTTTTAAAAATATTAAAGCTAGGTTTTATTTTTTAAAAGATTTTCTATTCAGGATAAATGCTTCATAAATCTTTTTTCAATTATTAGTACTATTTTCAATATATGCTTTCTAAAGTTTGCGATGCACACTGGTTTTTCAGATGGAAAATTATATAGAGTAAAAATGTGTTAAGAAAGAAATTTTGAGTTTTACATATGTCTAAACCTTGAAAATCTGTAAGAATTATTTTTTGAAACATAAATGAATGTTGAATATTTACATATTAATTTATCTCTAAATAAATACCATTTAAGAGAACCAGTTTTTGAATCCCATTACAATTAGTAACACAAATGTATAAAATTTATTAACTTAAAATTAAGTAAATACCTAAGCCGAAATAGTACTTTTCAATATCTAGTACTACTTATTAATACTTAAGACAATTAACATATGGTTAAAAGATAACACCAAAAAATGCATTTAAATCTTAAAAATAAAATTACATAATTATCTATACAAACAAAATTAAGCAATAAAAAAAGTTTTGATAATTTCTTTTGTCTTTTAGGACCGCTATTTTTTTTCCTTCTTTAACACTTATCTTAATCTTATTTTCTTTATGTAAATAAACAATATAAAAATGGTAAACAATCGATGATATTTTTACCACGTTTTACACAACCTAACAAAAACATAAAAAATATAATAAACATTTTCAATTTTGAAACATACTTTAGTTGCGTCTTTGGACCAGCTTACTCCCCTCACTGTCAAACCTGTTTTCGATAGACTATTTAACATCCACATAAAAAATAGAGCTGGTATTGGAAAAAACAGGAGCTGTGCAATGCTAGGCATAATTTCTAGGGGTATTCGTACAAATAAACAGTTTAAAAAATAATTGTAAGGTAGTTATAAAAAATTTTATCTCCAACAGGTTGCTAAAGTTGTCATTTCTGACGGCCAAAACCCGCAGAACGAAAACTAGAACCTATAAACTTCAAAGAGCCGTAAAAATAAACAAAAAAACAGCATGTTTGACGTGGTTGGTCACTTGATTGGTCATTATTGAAAGGTCTAAACTACGTCACGATGAATGTGACGCTTATAGCTTACAAATTAACAATATTTCTTGCTCTGAGTGGTTGGTTTTCAACTAAAAAGACCCACTACATATGTGCGAAGCCAGTTCCAAAATTTCCCAAGCTCGATGTTTTTTCATTCATTTATTCTCGTTCATTAGTAGATTTATAAATTCTTCTCGATTTGGTTAGTGTTGTTGTTAATTTATGTCGCACTAGAGCTGCACAATGGGCTATTGGCGACGGTCTGGGAAACATCCCGGAGGATGATCCGAAGACATGCCATAACAATTTTGATCCTCATGCGGAGGGGATGCTCGATTTGGAGAACAGGAAGCACTAATCAGAAAAAAAACCCTTTCTGAGTTACGACGGGGTGCGATACCGCTATCTTCATACTTTCGAGAGTTTGACCACAAAGAATTTCGAATTATGTATTTGTGTCTTACAGTTTAGTTAGATTAAAGAAACTTTCAACAGTATCATAATAAATCGCTTATATAAAGCTCTGGTTGAGTTTCAAATACCGTCTAAACTAATTAGACTTCTAGTAAACTTGTCATGCCTAATTAATGCAAGCACGTCTTAGTACACGTAGGATTTTGTTTGTTTGTTTGCTCAGTTATGTCGCACTGGAGCTGCACAATGGGCTATTGGCGACGGTCTGGGAAACATCCCTGAGGATGATCCAAAGACATGCCATCACAATTTTGATCCTCTGCAGAGGGGATGGCACCCCCGCTTTGGTAGCCCTACGACCTGCACGCGAAGTCGAGCACTTTACGGCAGAACAGTTTAACGAGGACAAATACCGCACACCCTTGGTCCCTACGCAGGCTGATTCAAGTGGTCACCCACCCGCACACTGACCGTAGGCAGTGATGCTTGACTTCGGTGATCTGCTAGGAACCGTGTCTTACCGATCAGTCCACTGCGGGACTAGTACACGTAGGAAGGGCAGGGACTAATATAGGGGATAAGGATGTTTCACTTTTTTCGGGGGTTATTGAAAAGCTACATGCTTTTGACAGACCGGTTTTAAGCACAAAAAGTGGCGCTCCCATCCTTATGTATATTATTTTCTGACATCCCCGTCGTACCTAAGTATTGCGCGTAATTAGTGTTGATCATTAAAAAAGCAATTTAATTTAAATTGTAAATTTTTTTCATTTATGAAAACCAGTATATTATTTTGCATATTGCTTAAAGATGTCTACACGTCACTCGTAATTTATTTGTTTGTTTATTGAAGTTTTGAAACCAGAAATCATTCAAATTAAGGGCAATTATATAAGTTTCGGTTTTGTTTAGTTTCGGTTTTCAGAGCTTGGGTTAACTAAAACCGAAGGAAGGATATTTGCTTATTCAACCATAGTTACTAGTTTGAAGCGTCTGGTTCGATTATAACTGAAGTATAGATGCTTATATTAGCATTTTTTTCATATTTAAATATATGATTTAACAGAACAAGTTCAAAACTAAAGCCCTTTGAATTTTGTTAGTTTACTATTATTGTTTTAAAATCGGTATAATAAAAAATGCCTTATATGACAAATTTTTTTAAAAATATATAAGTAAATATAAAAAATATAATGCACCCGTAAATTTGTTACATTTTCCTATGATAATTAAAAATAAAAATCTTTTTCATCTAAATAATTATTCGTAGTATTTATTATGAAATCGATTGTATAGAGCATCTATCAATTTCCCATCCTTATAAATGCCTTTGCACGAATAATTATTTGAATTATTATAATCTCTCTCTCTCTCTCTCTCTCTCTCTCTCTGTCTCTCTCTCTCTCTCTCTCTCTCTCTCTCTCTCTCTCTCTCTCTCTCTCTCNTATATATATATATATATATATTATTTTTGTAAGAAAGTCATTGTCAATTGATTTTTTGTTTATAGGCAAATGTTGCACCAATATTTGCAACATTTTTTTTTCTACAGAAAGTCGCATACCTTTACAAAACAAATTTTATTTAGAACATTGTGAGAGGTGGAACAACTAAAAACAAGTGAACGTGCTCTCTTTCTCAAAAGGATTTTCTTGAAGAATTGCTAAAGGAAACTCTACAGGCCTTAATTTCCATGAGTGAACCTGCACCTGCAGATCACAAATTATCAGGGCAGGCTACCATCGACTGTGCCTTGACAATAAATGCTACATACTCAACAGTTTGCAAGGTAATTTTGTTGCCAGAGTATTAGATAGATTTAAAAATTCTTTTTAAGAAAAAATGAGTGAATTTTATTTTTTATTTTTCTATAAGCAAGCGGGAAAAAAGCCTTCAGAAGGGGACGCCAGAATGGGATAAGTCTAGATTTATAAAATAAATTGCGGTCCTTAGTAAGGGGACGCCAGAATGGGATAAGTCTAGACTTATAAAATAAATTGCGGTCCCTTTCCCCCCGAAAAGGACAGCAATTTATTTTGTAAATCTAGACTTATCCCATTCTGGCGTCCCCTTACTCAGCGTCTAACGCAGCAGCCTACTAGGTTCGCACCTCTGACTGAACCTGCATGCAAGATCAAATTGTTGGAATCTTTATCTGAAGAAATCAAAATCAATGATGAAGTCAAGCAGGGTGATTTTTTATCCTGCCTTTTTTCAAACGATTCTTTATAGAAAATTATAAGAGATGCAGGATGTAACATCAGAGGCAACATATCTTCGTAACCAATACAAATTCTAGCCTATGCAGACGATATTCACATAATTTCAAGATTTCTCTCATTGTAAAAGGCTTTCCTTTCTTTAGAACGTGCTGTTAATTGTAAGGGACTAATTATAAGCAGCGAAAAGACCAAATAGATGCATGAACTAATTAATCGAATTTCCCACGAATTTGATCTAGAAATTGGTTCTCACGAATTTCAGGTTGTTTACAGTTTTACTCTTCTTGGTACCATAGTTACAGCTGACAATAGCATCGTCAAGAAGATTCGGAGTCGTTTAATATATGCAAATGAAGCTTTTTATGGACTAAAACGATTTTTTAAATCTTCACTGGGATCAAGAAATCAAATTTTTATTATATAAAACATTAATTAGACCGATACTTGCCTATGGCTCAAAAACCTGGAACCTGACCAAAGCTGGAGAAAGTAAAATAGCCATTTTTGAGAGAAGAGGTTTGCGAGCCATTCCTGGTGGGATAGAAATCAGCAATGTTTGACGAAGACGATACCCTCTTTTTTTTCGACGAAATTGTGAAATGCGGAACTCACTTCCGAATACCGTGTTCAGTTTAATTTTAAAACTGTATTTCTCTCAGTTTTAAACTGCTACATATATATTCTTCTTTTCAAAATAATGCTATCTATAAGTATAGTTTTTTACAACAGAAATTCAGCCAATTACTGTGAATATTCATTTTTATAATTCTTTTTATTTATTGGAATTCTGCCAAATCGCCCTTAAAAATCATAAAAACGAATAATGTGCCCTAATACTAGGACACTAGAGGCGATAAGGTCAATTTAGATAACTAGGAGGATCTGCTACCCGATTCTCGTCCTAGATTCGTAATCAAATTTGTTTTTTTTTTCTTAAAATTTATTACTTTTTTTTAAAAAAAATTTGTTTTAATAATAATAATTTTATGCAAAAGCATTTTGTTAGTATGGTAAACATGTAGCAAAATGAAAGAATACTTGGATTTGAAAAATACTCAACGGAAAAAAAAAATGTCTGAAAAAAAAACTTAATGAAAAAGTTTAAAAGAAATACTTCACGAAGGAAGCACTTAAATTAAAATCACTTTCGAACACACCCGGAATTTCGAAAAAAAAAGAAAGAAAAAAAAAAGAAAGAAACTCGCCTTACGTTTTTTAATGAAAAGGACTCTCGCAGCATTTTAAACTACGTGGTTACTCTTCAGCGACAGTTGATCGAACAACATATTTTTTTCTCTCCCTGTTTCACAGTTGATAATTCCCAAACTAATAATTGAATATAATAGTTTTGATTTTTTTTGATTTTTCTGAAAAGAGAAAGTTAGAAAAAAAAATTTGCAGAAAAAATACTTCGGAATAAATTGCGAAAAAAGTATTTTTTTTTAAAAAAAAGTTTCTTGCGTTAAGCTCATAAACAACTATGGCCCTTTCAGCATGCAGTATTTATTTTCTGTAGTTGTATTTCTGCGGCCCGTAGAGTGGCTCTCGTGGTGTTTTTTTTACAAGTTAACTGTTATCGTAACGGATATCTGGTAATCGTAAATTAAGGAAAAATCAATAAAGTAGTAACAACTTGCCCATAAATAAGCCAATCCTAATGAAATTTGAATATGTTGTGAAATAAGTGTTGCTAAGTAATACTGCAATATGTCAGTTTGTGGCGATGCAATCGATATACGCCATCTGCAAAGAGTATAATATTTTATGTTGGAGATCAAACCTGCGAACTTCGCAGTGCTTCTGAAATCTTTGATAGCCAATTTTTAACAATGACCTTCAGGCATCATCACTCCGAAGAACTATGATGGAGATATATTGGGAGTTGGGAGCCTAGAGGTAAGATGGATAAGTGTGGTTTACAGACTTTAAACCAGTTCGTCATCCCGGTTAGTCAATCACCAGTTCCTCATTCAGGAGGTACTGCCAAGAACGCTACAACTCGAAGGAATAGAGTCAGCTTAGATTTCTAATTGGTGCAAGCACCCAGTGATTGGTGTCTACAGTGCATGGACACGAATGTGGTTTATTGGCAAGGCGATTAGTCATTTGCGTACCTCTCTCGTCACGCAATTGAGGAAGGGAACGCTTCAGGTGAGCAACTGACGGCTGATCAATGGAGGGCTGTTCTCTATACACATGAATTCAGGTTTGGCCTCCATAGCGATAGTATAGATGTTATTTGATTTGGAGTGAACCCGATATCATTAATCAAACTTCTGTGAAGGAGATGTATGTATGTTCAAGGGGGCAGTGCCTTTGATAGGGGTGGTATCTCTGTGGGTGGAC